AGGAAAGCCTAGCCAGAGATACAAAAATGCTTAATAAAAGAATTGAAAAGCAATTTTTTGTACTACATTCACGTTCTTCCATGAAAAGAAGTTTTGTATCAGTAGTAATTATATTGCAGATCAAGGATGCTGGTTAGTAAAGCCTAGCCAGAGATACAGAAATGCTTAATACGAGAATTGAAAAGCAATTTTTTGTACTAAATTAATCTTCTTCTATGAAGAGAGAGTTTTGTATCAGTAGTTATGGTGTTGCTGATCAAGGACACTGGTTAGGAACGAATAGCCAGCAATACAAAAAAATTATACATAAGAAAGAAAAAGCCCATTTTTATGTACTACAATTACTTTCTCACGTGAAAAGAAGTTTTGTATCAGTAGTAATTATATTGCAGATCAAGGATACTGGCTGAGAAAGATTAGCCAGAGATACAGAAATGCTTAATACAAGATTTGAAAAGCCAACTTAATGTACCGCATTGATGTTCTTCTATGAAAAGAGAGTTTTGTATCAGAAGTTATGGTGTTGCTGATCAAGGACACTGGTTAGGAACGAATAGGAGGGCACTACAAGAAAAAATTAAACTTAAGAAAGAAAAAGCCCATTTTTATGTACTACAATTACTTTCTCCCGTGAAAAGAAGTTTTGTATCAGTAGTAATTATATTGCAGATCAAGGATACTGGCTAGGAAAGATTAGCCAGAGATACAGAAATGCTTAATACAAGATTTGAAAAGCCAACTTAATGTACCGCATTGATGTTCTTCTATGAAAAGAGAGTTTTGTATCAGAAGTTATGGTGTTGCTGATCAAGGACACTGGTTAGGAACGAATAGCCAGCAATACAAAAAAATTATACATAAGAAAGAAAAAGCCCATTTTTATGTACTACAATTACTTTCTCCCATGAAAAGAAGTTTTGTATCAGAAGTAATTATATTGTAGATCAAGGATACTGGTTAGAAAAGATCAGCCAGAGATACAAAAATCCTTAACACAAGAATTGAAAAGCAACTTTTTGTACTACAACACATTCTTCCATGAAAGGAAGTTTTGTATCAGTAGTAATTATATTGCAGATCAAGGATACTGGTTAGGAAAACCAAGCCAGAGATACAGAAATGCTTAATAAAAGAATTGAAAAGCAATTTTTTGTATTACATTCACGTTGTTCCATGAAAAGAAGTTTTGTATCAGTAGTAATTATATTGCAGATCAAGGATACTGGTTAGGAAAGCCTAGCCAGAGATACAGAAATGCTTAATAAAAGAATTGAAAAGCAATTTTTTGTACTACATTCACGTTCTTCTATGAAAAGAAGTTTTGTATCAGTAATTATATTGCAGATCAAGGATACTGGTTAGGAAAGCCTAGCCAGAGATACAAAAATGCTTAATAAAAGAATTGAAAAGCAATTTTTTGTACTACATTCACGTTCTTCAATGAAAAGAAGTTTTGTATCAGTAGTAATTATATTGCAGATCAAGGATGCTGGTTAGTAAAGCCTAGCCAGAGATACAGAAATGCTTAATACGAGAATTGAAAAGCAATTTTTTGTACTAAATTAATCTTCTTCTATGAAGAGAGAGTTTTGTATCAGTAGTTATGGTGTTGCTGATCAAGGACACTGGTTAGGAACGAATAGCCAGCAATACAAAAAAATTATACATAAGAAAAAGCCCATTTTTATGTACTACAATTACTTTCTCCCGTGAAAAGAAGTTTTGTATCAGTAGTAATTATATTGCAGATCAAGGATACTGGCTGAGAAAGATTAGCCAGAGATACAGAAATGCTTAATACAAGATTTGAAAAGCCAACTTAATGTACCGCATTGATGTTCTTCTATGAAAAGAGAGTTTTGTATCAGAAGTTATGGTGTTGCTGATCAAGGATACTGGTTAGGAACGAATAGGAGGGCACTACAAGAAAAAATTAAACTTAAGAAAGAAAAAGCGCATTTTTATGTACTACAATTACTTTCTTCCATGAAAAGAAGTTTTGTATCAGTAGTAATTATATTGCAGATCAAGGATACTCGCTAGGAAAGATTAGCCAGAGATACAAAAATCCTTAACACAAGAATTGAAAAGCAACTTTTTGTACTACAACACATTCTTCCATGAAAGGAAGTTTTGTATCAGTAGTAATTCTATTGCAGATCAAGGATACTGGTTAGGAAAACCAAGCCAGAGATACAGAAATGCTTAATAAAAGAATTGAAAAGCAATTTTTTGTATTACATTCACGTTGTTCCATGAAAAGAAGTTTTGTATCAGTAGTAATTATATTGCAGATCAAGGATACTGGTTAGGAAAGCCTAGCCAGAGATACAGAAATGCTTAATAAAAGAATTGAAAAGCAATTTTTTGTACTACATTCACGTTCTTCTATGAAAAGAAGTTTTGTATCAGTAATTATATTGCAGATCAAGGATACTGGTTAGGAAAGCCTAGCCAGAGATACAGAAATGCTTAATAAAAGAATTGAAAAGCAATTTTTTGTACTACATTCACGTTCTTCCATGAAAAGAAGTTTTGTATCAGTAGTAATTATATTGCAGATCAAGGATGCTGGTTAGTAAAGCCTAGGCAGAGATACAGAAATGCTTAATACGAGAATTGAAAAGCAATTTTTTGTACTAAATTAATCTTCTTCTATGAAGAGAGAGTTTTGTATCAGTAGTTATGGTGTTGCTGATCAAGGACACTGGTTAGGAACGAATAGCCAGCAATAAAAAAAAATTATACATAAGAAAGAAAAAGCCCATTTTTATGTACTACAATTACTTTCTCCCGTGAAAAGAAGTTTTGTATCAGTAGTAATTATATTGCAGATCAAGGATACTGGCTGAGAAAGATTAGCCAGAGATACAGAAATGCTTAATACAAGATTTGAAAAGCCAACTTAATGTACCGCATTGATGTTCTTCTATGAAAAGAGAGTTTTGTATCAGAAGTTATGGTGTTGCTGATCAAGGACACTGGTTAGGAACGAATAGGAGGGCACTACAAGAAAAAATTAAACTTAAGAAAGAAAAAGCGCATTTTTATGTACTACAATTACTTTCTTCCATGAAAAGAAGTTTTGTATCAGTAGTAATTATATTGCAGATCAAGGATACTGGCTAGGAAAGATTAGCCAGAGATACAAAAATCGTTAACATAAGAATTGAAAAGCAATTTTTTGTAATACAACACATTCTTCCGTGAAAAGAAGTTTTGTATCAGTAGTAATTATATTGCAGATCAAGGATACTGGTTAGGAAAGCCGAGCCAGAGATACAGAAATGCTTAATAAAAGAAGTGAGAAGCAATTTTTTGTACTACCTTCACGTTCTTCCATGAAAAGAAATTTTGTATCAGTAGTAATTATAATGCAGATCAAGGATGCTGGTTAGTAAAGCCTAGCCAGAGATACAGAAATGCTTAATACGAGAATTGAAAAGCATTTTATTTGTACTACGATAATCTTAGGAACTGGTTAGGAAAGAATAGCTAGCAATACAAAAAAATTATACACAAGAAAGAAATAGCCCATCCAATTTTATGAACTACATTTACTTTCTCCCATCAAAAGAAGTTTTGTATCAGTAGTAATTATATTGCAGATCAAGGATACTGGCTAGGAAAGCCTAGACTCAGATACAGAAATGCTATTTACAGGAATTGAGAAGCCCCTTTAAATGTACAACTTTCGTATTCTTCCATGAAAACGGAGGTAAGTATCATCAATGATCTTATTGCATATCAAGGATACTGGTTAGTAAAGCCTAGACTCAGATACAGAAATACTATTTACAGGAATTGAGAAGCCCCTTCAAATGTACTACTTTCGCATTCTTCCATGAAAACGGAGGTAAGTATCATCTATGATCTTACTGCATATCAAGGATACTGGTTAGTAAAGCCTAGCCAGAGATACAGAAATGTTTAATACGAGAATTGAAAAGCAATTTTTTGTACTACATTAATCTTCTTCAATGAAAAGAGAGTTTTGTATCAAAAGTTATGGTGTTGCTGATCAAGGACACTGGTTAGGAACGACGAATGGCCAGCAATACAAAAAAATATACACAAGAAAGAAAAAGCCCATTTTTATGTACTATATTCACAATCTTCCATGAAAAGAAGTTTTGTATCAGTAGTAATTATATTGCAGATAAAGGATACTGGTTAGGAAAGCCTCGCCAGAGATTCAGAAATGCTTAATACATGAATTGAGAAGCAATTTATTGTACTACATTCACGTTCTTCGATGAAAAGAAGTTTTGTATCAGTAGTTATTATGTTGCAGATCAAGGATGCTGGTTAGGAAAGCCTAGCCAGAGATACAGAAATGCTTAATACGAGAATTGAAAAGCAATTTTTTGTACTACATTAATCTTCTTCTATGAAAAGAGAGTTTTGTATCAGTAGTTATGGTGTTGCTGATCAAGGACACTGGTTAGGAACGAATAGCCAGCAATACAAAAAATTATACACAAGAAAGAAAAAGCCCAATTTTATGTACTACAATTACTTTCTCCCATGAAAAGAAGTTTTGTATCAGTAGTAATTATATTGCAGATCAAGGATACTGGCTAGGAAAGCCTAGCCAGAGATACAGAAATGCTATTTACACGAATTGAGAAGCCCCTTCAAATGTACTACTTTCGCATTCTTCCATGAAAACGGAGGTAAGTATCATCAATGATCTTATTGCATATCAAGGATACTGGTTAGGGAAACCTAGTCTGAGATAAAGAAATGCTATTTTAAGAACCATTTAGACCATTTTGTTGTACTATCTTCGCTTTCTTCCATAAAGAAGTGTCTTAGTAAAATTTAGTCAGATATATACCAATCTTGTTCAACAACTTCGCACAATTTAACACAAAAATGTGGAACACAAAACATTCATGTCAACGAATACACTCTTCATCAAAAATTGGGACAAAAATATTCTCCATGCATAGTATTATACACTAGCATATAGCATAAATGGACTTTAAAGATGTTACCTTTGATTTTGGACTGTAGGCTGTGTTTGTCACGTTTCAGAACTGTAACTTCTGAGGCTTGGTTTTGGTTTTCAGTCAAGTCATCAATTTCACTCTGCAGTCTGCGTATCTTGGACTCGGCATTTTGCAAACTCTCAGCTAATTCTTCTTTTTCGCGACTCAGAGCATAACTCTCAGCAGCAAAATTTTCCTATATATAGACAAACAGTTATTACAAAAAGTCAGAAATAAGCAAAAAGTCAGTATGAGCACAGGGGCAAAGCGGAGTTTCGCATCACTTGCCATGAATGAACACAACAATTCCGGAAAAAATATCAATATTATGAAAACTAAACAAAGAGGTTAAGATGCACTTCTTAAACAAAAGCAACACAAACGGCAAAAAAATACTGTAAAAATACACGAAAAAGTCATCTAAAGCTTTGAAAAAAAGCATTGGAAAAAATTCAGAAACTGGATGTTCGACATAAAAAAATCGGGTGCTTTTAAGGTAAACAAATTCCTACGAGACGACTGAGTCTTAAGAACCTAGTACTTGCACACAAACGTACACTTTTGCCACCCCCCCCCCCCCCCCCACACACACACACACACCCGCAATCACACAGACATACAAGCATCAATTTCAGGGTGCACCAAATAATTTAACAACAAAAGTGAAGACTAAACAGGCAAATAGTCAGCACATGCCAAATTTTCTAAAAACTTGGCTTAAAATTCGGCAATGACTAAATTTGAATTGAGCGATAACACGGAGCATACACAAACAAAAATATGACCGATAACGCTACTGAGAAAAACTGAATGAGTAAAACTTTGAGTCTACAAAAATTCTTAAGTGACGCACGCCAATTATGACGTACCAGTCAATTTGATTTAAAAAAATTACCAACTAACATGCCTCAATTTAAACAGCAGTATGTGGAGCAGAAACAACATGAAAAAATTAATTGTAATAAAATAAAAATGAATTTTTTTTAATTTGAGATTTTTTGAGACCGAGTATGAACTATCTTTTTTTCCAACCTAAGTTGCAAATATTGCCGAGATTTTTTCCGTAATAGAAATCGTTCTAAATTGGTTGAAGGAATCTTATTTGCCATAATTGATTTGTTAATATGAGCGAAATTTATCACTTTTTACTTAATATGGTGTGTGTGGGGGACACACCATATGAAGTAAAAAGTGATAAATTTCGCTCATATTAACAAATCAATTATGGCAAATAAGATTCCTTCAACCAATTTAGAACAATTTCTATTACGGAAAAAATCTCGGCAATATTTGCAACTTAGGTTGGAAAAAAAGATAGTTCATACTATAACATAAGCATTGTTGTGTAATAATTTAGGGTGCTTATGTACAAGCTTGATTATCAAATACTATCCCGCACTAAATGCGTTTTAATTCAGCGGATATAGCTCAATTGTCAAAAAATCCATGTACGGAAATACCCGTCTTGAGTTGGAAAAAAGTGGGCTGATCTTATAACACAGACACAGAAAATTGCACTTAAGCAAATATTAAAAAGAACAGCATTTGGCAGCTATCATTGTCATAAATCTATAGCAGAAACTTTTATCGCAACTTTGATATTTTCCAATTTGCGAGAACACGACAGAAAGCAACTCGATAAAGTCCAATAAGAAAAAGTAGAAATAAGCCTCAAGTTAGTAAAAACTCGGCTATGTCTCGGATTCGATCTGAAACCAAGAAAATAAGAGTCTCAGGCACTTACCACTTAGCCACGGACGCTTAATAAATCACAAACACTAGCTACAAACAGAGCAAAGAACAAATGCTATGAAATTTCCAACGCAACAGATCGTAATTATTGCAAAAGTGCCACCAAATAAGTGAGCACTTTTATTTGCGAGTAAGGCTAGAAAAAAGATATTTAGTTATAATACACTAACGCTCGCAAGCTCGCTAGTTTAAACAAGAAAACAAACTGAACTTGAAAGTAAATCAAAAGTCAAACTACGACTTATTTAATTCGAGCCCGAACAAATTTCAACACTGTTTCTGAAAAAACAAACACAAAAAAATCAACACCACCTATGTAAGAGTATTCACTACGCTCATCGACTCTTAAAAATTACTAAACTACGTAACTAATTTTTCCAAAAAAAATTGGCCGAATATGGGATTCATAACGCGGACCTCCGGACTAGAAAGCGTTCACCTTCCTGGCTGAGCCAAATATACTGACTGACATATAGTTTACTCATCGTCTAATTGTAAACAACAAGCGTCCTTATATAGCTGATACAACACATACTTCTGTTTTGATCACCCATGAAACTGAATACAAACGCTGAGCAAAAATCTGTCCAAGTGAAGTCTGAAAAAAGAGCTCCTATATAGCACTACGTTTTGCCGGTCTAAAAAAAACAATGAAAATTTGTTTTCAAAACTCTTTAAAAAATTCGTAAAAAAAACGAAATTCTATTCTCGCAAAATTAATCTATACATATTTTCCAACATGGATAGAAATTTTAGGCCGACTTAAATTGAGTAATTGAAGAAAAATCTCAGCTCGAAAACAAGAGCAACTATATTTGAGCCGAAAAACAAAGAGACAGAAAAATCGATCTAGGAAATTTGCGACAAGGTCCGACCGCAATTCAAACTGTCTTCCTGCGTTGGAAAGTTTGAAACATAATTTCCATGTCACATGGGCACAGTAAAAAATCAAAAATTAAATTAAAGTACAGGGCATTTTGTGGGCACATGAAACCTTCTCACGAGTGAATCCTGTTAACAAATTTTCGAAAGGGAACTGGGTAAAACCTAGCGAGAAAAAAAACATTTTCCCGAAAACAATTCCTGATTCACAAATATCACAACAAAAAATGAGTGTGAACAAAACAACATGGGTTAATTAAGCGAAAATTTATCTAATTGATAAATACAAATAATTACCTTTTCTGCTGACAGTTTTTCTTTCAATTGTCGTTCCAAAACTGTCTGCTGTTGGGCTTGATTAAGTTCGACATCAAATTTGCGCTGTTTGCGTTCTAGTTCTGTATTCCTTAAAAAATATAATTTATAGTTGCATTCAAGCATCCCAGCCAAGGTATCAATACTTATGCAACCAGTAAATATGAGCCAAGTAATATGTCTAAAAAAACGATTAATTTTATAGAATTTAGCGTCCATTTAAATTAAACTTGACACTACATTACTTTGAAGTAGAAACAATGTCAGATAATATTGCATAACCAAAGTGATGTAAATATAATTAGTTATCATCCTGAAGCTTACTGCTTTTAACAGTGAGTTGTGAAGCTAGCAGCTCATGAAACTCTGGGCGCTAACCTCTTGAGCGATATCGCAAATTCCTGAGCAAAAATATTAACTTTTGATCGAAACAAGCTTTAATTAACTAATTAAAGCGTGTTCTTATCGTATCTTAACATGATTTCTTTGACCAGTATGACATTTGTGAAAATGCATAATACAAAGGAATATCCAAAAGTTCAATTCAAACCTTGCCACTTGCTGGTTTAGAACCAGATTGGTGTCCTGCAGTTCCTCCTGGAACTTGGCCGCCTTCCTCTTCAGCTGAGTGACTGCGTGTTCCTTATCCTCCAAGTCGTCTCTCAGATCTCCCAACTTCCTGTCCAGAGACTTCTTCGCCTTCCCCCACTCTCCCCTTTCGTCCTCCATCTCCATTTCCAACCTAATCCACATGTCACTTTGTTTTCAATCAAACGCCATGTATAATCAATTTTGTCTTCAAAAAGGAGCAATTTGTGTATAGTTAAAATTTCAAAAATCCCATCATGGAAGAACACCAAATGCCTCCCTACGCTTTCACATAAATGGATCGCGATTCTTTTGAGAAACGAAAGGGAAGGGAACGCCCACTACGGTTAAGTTGGTTGCTGCTAGCTGAGGCGATGCAGACCAAAAATACTTGCATGCCGGAAGAATTATAAAAATCCCAAATTCAGGTCTTACTTGCTTTTTTAAAAACTTTGATTTCGCTCTGAAAAATTCCTCAAATTGAGCCCTTATTTTCTTTTTTTTTAAAACTTTCATTTCGCTCTGAAAAATTCTGAAAATTTGCGATTTTTTACATTTGTTATGAGTTGTTTTATTTCACACCTCTTCCTGTCAATCTCGGCTTGCTTCTTAATACTCAGCAGTTTGTTTTTGAACATGACCTCGTCCAGATAATCTTCCTCACTGCCACCGCTGGAAGATCCCAATGCATGTTGGCCTTGGACACCGTCCAGTGACGAGGAGTTGAAAAGAGAGGAGTTGGCCATGTGACGTAATCCTGTCAGCTCCATCTCCATCTTGCCATTCTCCTTCTCACTGCTAGCCACTAAACGCCAGAATAATTCAGCAATGATACCACAAGATGACCATTCTCATGGCCAAAGGATAGCATTGCAGAAAATTCTCTAGCAAACCAGCATCTTTTCAACTGTACAAAAAAAGTCAACTGAACAGTCAAGCTGATAAGTTTCAGATTTTGCATGCTGATTGGCTGATATGATTTTCTGCCATTTGCTCTTTCTGTCATGAAGACAGGCACCGACACCATTTAACACCAGAACACAATGCCAATTTTGCAGTTGGATATCATGACGCTATGTTGACAGGGTAAATGGCATGGAATTATTCAATTACTCAGCAAAGCAGACGCGCAATTCAAGGAGTCTTTTTAAACGTTTCGACTGATCTTTAATTAAAATCCATAAGCTTCATGTCAGTTGATACATTAATTGATAAAACGGGTGAACATCGAGCAAACTTTTAAACATGTGAATTGATTTTTCATAAACTGGAGATGCTTAAACTCAACTCAGACATAACAAGATGCGGTAAAATTGCAATTTTTCAGTACCGATATTAGGTTGATCTGAGTCGATAAAAATAATAAGCAATCCTCAATTGAACAGAACATATTCGCCAATTTCATCTTAGGGGCCGACCATTTGAAAAATGGGGAGGCACTTTGTATTCTGGTGTGTTTTATTTTTTTTCTTTTTGCTTTCCACGCAAAATCAGGTACCACAGGTATTTATCGGAATAAATAAATTATATTAAAGCCCTTTCAATAGTGATTCGAAGGACATTCAAAAATTTCAAAAACTTTTTCACAGTATCGAGAAAAACAGGTTTAAAATTTTTAATTTTTAGTCTAAATTTGATCGAATAATGGAGCGAGCAGGCTTACAATAGCTTATTATGCTTAATTTAGGCAGTGAAAACTTAGTTTTACTCAAGTAAAGTTATTTTCGGTTCAGTGTTTTGTTTTCTTAGTCATTTTTCTACTATTCTAGCCTATTTTACAGTGACTGTCGGATATTCCTAGTTCATATTCATATTCTTTAAGTTCATATTCTTTTATCACACCTCGCAGAAAATAAATACGATAATTAAAAAAAAAATTTGTGTTTTTTATACTATGGTCGGAACATTCTGTGCTACTTGCACAGCAACCGGCTATCCTTGCTCAATCTGAAACTGGTCGGGATTTGATTTTTTAAAGCTATTTTAGTTTTCATTTGCATGGACTTTCATCACTAATGAAAAAATAATATAACAGATTGAGGACAACAATTCAAGAAAAAACGACCAATGAAAATTGTATTGATCAGATCCTTAATTCCAATTCATCTTGGATACTGTTCCCACCATTAGCTTCTGCTGCGACCCAAGTTAGGCTTAGGGCTTTTTTCCTTTCTTGCTTGGGGAGGGGAGGTGATGGGAAGGTATGAGAGTGACAATTGCGGCTACAGACAGGTCATCGGGTCCACCACTTGAAGGTGTCCCGGAGGTGCGGTCAACTTGATCGCACATAAGATACTATCATAAATTCCCACAAACGCCTTTTTTATAACAAATTCTGGCGTCTTTTTGTGCCTCAAAACCTTCCTAAAAATATTTCCAACTTTTCGCAAACTTACGATGTAGGATATCCTATTTTGAGTTTTTCAATATTCCAGGCGAACTTAACGAATCGTTTTGTAACTTCCCCAAATATCTTTTTCAAAAAAATATCGGGAAAAAATGCTATTTAGTTTGCTCTTCACTTCATTAAAGTGGCCATCTTCTATCTATGAGGTGAAGGAGATTGAATGAAGTGTACTGACACTGTGCCTTGAGAGATTTCACTTGCTCCTCCAGACTGCGCCTGTTGAGCAGCTCCTGTTCGTACAACTGAGTAGTATGCTGCAAGCCCGCCTGTTCCTCGCTCAACTGCAGTCCCATCTCTTCCACCTATAGATCAAGAAACAGATCATTTCAAGATACTCCGACCAGTTTTCACGCTCATTCTCTTGGATGATTTTTACATATATAAATAAAGGCGGGCACTGCATGTAGTATCCACATAAACATAGCCTACAGACAGTTGGAAAAGAGTCAATGAACGCCAGAAAACAACAAATAACAACTTCCCTTTTTTTTTTAAAAAAAACGTCTATTTTCGAAAGAGGTCTCTGAGGTTCTTAAATATTTTTATGATTCACAAATTTTGTAATATTCACGCATTTTGAGAAACTGGATCAATAAGTAATTTTATTTATTCCGCTGGGAAAACTGAAAATTAAATTGCATTTTCGAAAATAGAAGTTGATCACAATTTTCGTGACCTTTACAATTTTGCTGTTCGATGGAGAAGTTTGCCTTCCTTTTATCCAAGAAAATGAACTGAACTTGAAAAGAAATCAAAAGTCAAACCACGAAAAAGTAAATTTGAGTCCTGAAAAAAAAACTTAAAAAAAAATCATCGCAACCTATGTATGAGTCTGCTCTACGTTCATCACCTCTTAATCATTAGACGCCTAATATGATATCATACTCAAATGTTCTTTATATCATATCAAATATATGGATCTAACACGACATGCTTCATCTACTACTGCTCGAACGTACCTCTTGCTCCAGTCTGGCTACCCGACTGGTCAGTTCTGTCCTCTCACTGTCCTTCTGCTCCAACTTTCGAGTGGCCTCTTCCAGGTTGGCCACTTTGGCCCGACGCTCCTCCTCCGAGAGAGCCACTCGCGCCAGGGGCAACACCTTAACACAAGTCCAACTGAGCAATAAAATATGTTCGATATCCTAAAAAAACTCACAGATAGATCTATGATTTTTATTTGAATATAATTTTCGTTGTGATTTTAAATCACTGTTGCCAGATGGCAATTTGTTTATTATTGTACCAAATTAATCGTGAATTTTTTAACTTACTGTGATAACTTTCTTACACAGCACTATATGTCTCACTAAATGAATGTCTTGAATTTCTTGAACACAGTTCGAACTATTTAAAAAATTATATTTTTTGGAGCTGCGATAGGGTAGAGAGCTTATATGGTATTTTGTTTCGACACTCAATACCTTTGCCATCCACATTTGGCCGGAAAAAATATACTTTTCTCTCGTGGCTCCAATAATAATTTTGAGTAGCACTCTTGGAAAGCGCTCAACTTTGGGCCTTTCTGAAAGGTTATGAGAGTCGTAAAAAGTGTCTCACCCTGATGTATAGTTTCCACCAGTCCCACTGTCTAACTTTCCAGAAGAGCCTGATATTCTTTTGGACACAGGCCACTGCTCTATTCTGCATCTGCAGCTTCTGCAAGTGGCGTCTGGCCGAGTAGGCTCTGCAGTATGCTTGGAAGTCCACGATCACCGCGCCTATCTTCTCGTCTCTTCTCTCGTCCAGATCCACCAACACTCCACAGCGGAAGAACAGTTTGGTCACTCCCACTGCGTAGCATCCGGCCGGTATCTCCAGCGCCTCACACAGACTCTGAGACGTGGCACGTTCGTCCAACGGATTCACGACGAAGGAGTCGACTGACACCAACATGCTGTAGCTCCTGATGAAGATATCGAAGTGAACGTTGTCCGGATAGCCTTAACACATTACCAGACATTAATATCATCATCTAGAAATGAAACTTGATTTGTCAACATTAATTCTTGGATTGATTCGCAAAATTAGCTTCGCTCAGCAATACACCTGAACGCTAGATCCTCTGCGATTCATAAAAATAAAATTATCACTCAGTTTTTTTGCGCTATCAGTCTAATATATTAATATTTTCATTTAGTTAGGAATCATATGCCATCACCTTCAGTGCACAAGACTTAGGAACCTATCACAAACCTTTCAGTCATGAAACCTTCATAAACCTTTTCAGTTAGGAACCTTTGATAAAAAATAGAAACCGATTCAAAAACTAACCGACTCGGAACATTCTGGCGGCTGATACTATCTGCGTAGCTTGTACTTGGGCTCTGAGGAAAGGCACGTCGATTGATGAATAGGAGCCTAGGTCTTGAGCACACTTCATGTTCGGCATCATACACAGAACGAAATTCATCTGCGTGTGGCGCAACAATTCCAGAACGAAATCCTAAATTCAAAGCTAATTTCGAAAATATTGACCATGAAATTGAGATTGGATAGTAGTATGAATAACTTCTCGAAACTATGACCTTTAATAATGTTTTTCTTCGGAAGTTATCAAGGCTCGATCTAAATACTTTCTAAGTATAGCATAGTATATATAAGCTATGCTTTCTTAAGCATAGCATAGCTGTAAAACTTGTCAAAAATTTACACCAATAAATGTGATATCATCTCGTTGTGATAAAACATAGCCAACTAACAGTTGGAAAAGAGTAATGAACGCAAGGGAACTGAAAAAAAAACTGACTTGTTTTTTCAAGAGCGTTCAACTTTTGAATTTTGAAGAAAAAAAATAGATGGCCTTAAAGCTCTTTGAATTTGTAGAACTATGTATGATGGACACTTTTTTTGTAAAAATTAACCAAATTTGATAAAACTGGATCAATACGTAAAACTTTTTTTTCCCTGGGAAATCTGATAATTAATTTCCATTTTCGAAATCAGAAGTCGATCACGTTTTTCGTCACCTTTACACTTTTGCTTTTCGATAGTTAATTTCGCCATCCTTTTAACAATGAAAATGAACTGCACTTAAAAAGAAAACATAGCCAATCGAAGCTTGCAAAAGAGTAATGAATGCAAGTAAAAATGAAAAAAGAACACGAATTTCAAAGAAAAAAAATAGATGCCCTTTAAGGTCTTTGAATTTCTAGAACAATTTATGAATGGCGCTTTTTTGATAACATGAACCCAACTTGAGAATACTCGATCAATAGATAAAGTTTATATTCCGCTGAGAAATCTTAAAAATAAATTCTACTTTCGACACTAGAAAACGTTCGTTTTTTTTGCGCCATTTGCACGTTCGTATTTGGAGAGTGCTATTTACGTCACTTTCGATAGATGAATTTCAATTGAACTCAAAAAGTGCATTAAACTTGAGTGCATCAATATTTTAAGATTTTTTCCTGAAAAAAAAAACGAAGACCTATACAAGAGTACTCACTACGTCCATTACTATTAATAACCTTATAAGCTCAAATAGTATGGCATAACTTGGATGTGTATAAAGGCATCAAACTGACCAGTTGGAACTTGACTTGAAGACAGAGTGAGTTTTTCTTGACAGCTGCGATGGATGAGAAGCCTCTTCTGACTTGAGTCTGTCTTCTCAGATTCAATGCATCTCCTCCCCCAATAGTGCCAGCTACTGTTCCACTCACATAACTGCGCAGTCGACCGAACACCTCCGCTATATTCACACTGAAAACAATGCTCATCTTCAGTCAATTTAAACTCTATTTCTACTTATTATTCTTCAGCAAAAAGGCAAACGATATCTTAAAGACAAATTTTAAATGCCACAAGAGGCACATGGTATATTCTCTACATTTTAACACAGAGGCGAAGCCTCACTTCGCAAACACTAGCGAGAACACGACAAAAAGCGGCTCTATAAAGGGCAACAAGAGAAACTTGAAATAAGTCTCGAATTGGTGAATATTCGACTACGTATCGGATTCGATCTGCGACCTACTGCAACTGATTATGAGTCTCACGCATAAGCACTCAGCCACGCACACTTAATACATCACAAACGCTAGTCACAAATAAAGCAGATAATATATGCTATGAAATTTCCAATGCTAGATCGAGATTCCCAAATAAGTGAACACTTTCCACTTTCAATGAACACTTTTAGTTGCGAGTTAGGTTAGAAAAAAAAGAAGGTTCGTACTAATACACTACGCTGATCCCTAGGTACAAACATTTTGCTTAAACGATAATATTTTCTCTTACCGAATGAATCAGATTTTCTTTCTTCAATAACTCTTTGAAGGAACAGTTGAAGGCTGGTTAGAATCAAATTTTAGGGTTGGTAGGAGCAAATTTGAAAGTACAAAATCCGCTCAAAAACGTCCTTAAACTCTGGCTCTGCAAACACTCCCCCACCTTTTCCAAAGCCGCCCAATCATGCATGTATAGACCTTCTCATTCAGTACGGTTGAACAAAACAATACAAACCTGGATGATTCTTGTAGCATTGGTAAAGACATTCTGCACACTGGATTCTCTTTGCATCTCTGCAACCAATTTTCTGCATTGTAAGTGACTGGACTTGAACCCTGACAGTGTCTGATAGACAGAGTGGTCCCCTTTCTTGATAGCAACCCGTCCGCTCTATCTCCATATATGGTTGTGACTTTGTTCAGCATCATTTCACATGTCACGTCTGGGAAGATAGACTCTTCGTCCAGAACCCAAAGAAGACCTTTCACTTCGACTTCTTCGTCATCATTTGACAACTTCTTCAGCGGACTCTGATCCAACATGTCAATTATCAATGAGGGATCCGTAGGCATTGAGTCTTCAAAGTCAACCTCAATTCGTTCTTGTTCGAACAGCTTTAAAGGACTGGCGACTGTGCTATCGTGAAACAACTGATGCAATCTCTCATGAGTGTAATTTACGAATAAATCTTCCAAAGAGTTCCCTTTATCGTTGTCATCGTACGAATTCTTAATCAATCCTGGCGCGTCAATCAGTTGCATTGCAATGTTCGATTTGTAATTCGCAGAAAGAGATCGGTTTGTGAGAGACAACACAGCGTTGAAAAGATCCTGGTATAGACCCATAGCCATCCCTTCCAACATGTCTTTGGAGGCCAGTCCAGAGAGATCCAGGTTAGCTCCAGCACCTGCTCGCATACCTCTTCCGGCTCTGGCGCTCAGGGCAGAGGATCCGACACCTGTGACACTTCCATAGAAAGTAGCTCGAGTCAGAGTCTGTAGTTTGACTCCCAGAAGATGCGCAGCCTTTTCCGCTGATTCTTGGTCGGCAAATTCGTACTTATTTCCCGCTAAAAAAACTTCGTGCTCAAGTTTAATTACATACAACGTACGACTGACGTTAAGAGCAATGTCAAATATTTTAGATAAGAGAGAGCGCGATTACCAATGCAGATATTAAGCTTAACTTAATTCGAAGATCAGCTTAACCTTTGAAAAAAAAACACTCACTGGAAAATTAATCCTCACTTTTTTCAATCACAGGCACATAGTTAACGCATTTGCAAAAACTAATGCCTTTATTTCCAAAGACTTTCTTCGGATGTCCTCTTGTTTCAGTCGAACATCAACATTCACAAGATACTATTGATGAGCCGCAAAAAATAGGAAGAAAACTACAAAAACACACGTTTGAAGTATCAAATCTAATGTATAATTTATCGAAAACTTTGATAAACATTCTCGATTCTCGCATTGATCAAGAGCCGAGCCATTACACAAAATCGTCTCGGCAATTTTTCAAACGATCGGGAGTCTCTACTTTTACCTTTGAACTCCTGGTTCTAAGAAAAATCTCTTACTAAATACTGCTTAGAACTAATCAGACACGTGCATCATAACTGACTGAATTGAAACACGGCCTACAAACAGGAAAAAAAGTAAAACTGAAAAAAAAATCGGAAAACTACTTTTTTTAAAACATTCAAATTTTCAAAAAACAAAACTTTGAAGCTCGAAATTTCAAAACTGTTTCAATTGGAACAATTTCAACATTTAAAAAAATGTGTCAAAAGCTGATTGTTTAATTCCGTTCCAGAAGCTAAACACTGGAATGCACTTTCAGCCGTAGAAGTCATTCACATTTTTTGCGCCAGCACGGCTTTGTTAATTGGAGAGCGTATTTTCCTTCTTTTAGCAAAAGAATTTGAAAAAAAACTCAAAAAATAGCATGTTTCTGAAATTTTCTAAGGCACTGAAATTTAGCACGGTGAAGAAGCTGCACTTGGCAAACACAAGCAGCAAAAATAGCTCTTAAAAGTCAAAAAAATATAAAAAGAAGCCATAAGAAATAATTTCTGTCATGTGCCGGAACCAAACCTCCGACCTCGAGATTAGGGCTCTCACGACTTCGTATCTGCGACAGGGTCGCTTGACAATTTACAAATCTAACTAACAATAAAGCATCTACAGTTGCTATTAAATTGCCATTGCTATGCAGCAAAAGTGCCAGCGTCTCTTGTCCTATCAACTGTACCATGGTAGCTTGGAACTGTACCATGGTAGCTGGAAGACTATTTACCAATAAAGCAGCTACCGATGCTACTAGATTAACAAGAAAGCAACAGTATTTAAATTATTTCTTTCTCTTTTAAGGTCAAGTAATCCTGAATGGGAAAATAAAATTAAGATGTGTAATTTGATTTACGAGATTAGATAGCGCGCCACGAATGGCGATACAGCTAGTTTGCAATATGCTTTGCGATTCTTTCATCATTTGTCATCGTTAAATTAGTTAGGAGATATGACACTAACATAGCCAACTGACAGTTGGAAAAGAGTAATCAACGCAAGGACAACAGCTTTCGAATTTTAAAGAAGAAATATATATCCTTAAAGCTCTTTTGAACTTCACGAAGAATTTATGATTGGTGCTTTTTTGATAAAAAAAGAACCCAATTCGAGGAAACTGGATCAATAGCTAAAAATTTTATTTCGCTGGGAAATCTGATAACTAAATTCCATTTTCGAAATTAAGTCGATCACGTTTTTCGTGACCTTAACACTTTTGCTGTTCGATAGTGGTGTTTGCCTTCCTTTTAACAAAGGAAAAGAATTGAATTTAAAAAAAATCAAACATCAAACCGCGAAAAACTGATTTTGAGCCTGAACAAACTTTAAGACTTTTCCTGAAAAAAAACAATCAAACAAAAAATCAAGTACTAAAAAAGATGACTCACTACGTTCATTAATCTTGAAAATGATTAAAAACCTGAAATGAAAAATGAGGTCGAGTGGAATAAAAATCACATGAAATGGCACAGGCTTGGTTTTCCTTGTATTTTTTCATGGCGACCCTGACTGCATCCATCAGTTATATTTGCTTTTTCTTACATATACAACCCTTATAACTCTGCGCGTCTGTCGACTTTAATTCTCACATTTGACTGATCCGGACAGAAGAAGGTGGAAGATAGCAGCAGTTACACCGAATATTGCATCTTGCTCTGCCTTAGACACGCCCAGCACCTCAAACGCATTCTTCAGTCTCTTGAACGAGTACACATGAGAAGAAAGTCCACGGCTCCCATGAACAGCGACTTCCGCCTGAAATACGCAAATCAAGTTCTACTAAACAATCGCCCTCATTTCCAATTCAAACTATTAAAAAAACAGCTAATAGAAAATGTGTAGAACATTGAAATCGAAAAAAAAATGATTGAAAACGTTTGAACATTCTTCAACTTTCGAAGAAAAAATCTGTCGGATTTAAGCTTTTTGAATTTCAGGAACAATTTTTGATTGGCACTTTTTGGATAAAATTAACTGAATTTAAAAACTTGGATCGATGAGTAAACTTTAAAATCCTTTTTAGAAACTAGAAGTTGTTCATGATTTTTCGTGTATAGTCAATTTTAATTTCTCAAGTCATTTGCACTTCTGTTATGGAGAGCGTAATCGCCGTCCGTTGCTCCATCTGTTGAAAAAATAAGAATGTGAACTTCAAAAGTAACTATATGCCAACGCAGAATATAACGTAAGCTAGAATAAAATAGAAAAAAGAAACACGACCTAAATAAGTAAGAACTCACTTCGTTTTCGTTGTTTGTTAGCTTTTAATTACCACACGAGAGACCAATGTTGTCTTGGAACTCTGCTACAGTACCTTATGAGAGAAATACGTTTCCTTTCCACCTTCTCCGGGAAATGTCTTCGGCAAACTCCACAACTTCGCTTCATCTTCATTACACCCGTAGACCATCTGTGAAAATATACTGAAGCCACTCTCTGCCTTCTTTCTTTCAGAGTAGTTGGTCAGTCTGCTCTTTTCCAGTAGGATACCCTGGATGTTAGCTCCAGATATAGTTCCCCCGTAATCGAACTCGATCGAGACAATCTGGGTGAACTTAGAGGCACTTCCGTTCTGAGAGGACCTGCAAGACCCAAAGGAGGACAGGACCGTCTGGGTGGCGACCATCTTATCAGCTGAAATAACATCATTTGTGGTTTAACAATCAACCCCCCCCCCCCCCGACCAGACAAAAAACTTGAGAAATAATCTTGTCTAAAAATTGTTCCTTTTTACTCCTTGTAAAAAGGAGCTTCACCTCTTCTGTGGTTACCCGGCAAACTGGAGTATCTTAAGATCCTCGAACCTCCTTTAATGTCAATATGCTCATAAGTAAGCACGCGTGTCAAACTTCGCAAGTCAAAAACTAACATTCTGTTTTAGTTGAGTGTAATTCTATTGAAGCTGTGACAAGGTTGTTCACCTGTGACAATGTTGTTCGTAGATCCAGCGTTTGTCGTGAGATATTTCAAGGCGTGATTCAGATTCTCGCTTTTGCCCGAGCCAGACTGCCCCAAAAACACCACACTCTGGTCGCGTCTGGACGCTATCATCCTCCTGTAGGCTAATTGGGCCATCGAGAAAATATGGGGCGGCATTTCTTCCTTGGAGGCGCATTTTTTCAGCACTGTCATCGCCTTGTCATTGTAAGCGTTAGTAGTGTGAGCGGGGTTTATAACTAGCAGATTGTATCCGCAAAATGTATGAAATAGTTCGTTTCCCGAGTAGCGAGTTCTCAGTACGTGCAGAATTGAAGATTCATTGACGTAGCGGAGCTTGCATATGTCTTCGACTGTGTCAAGCTCCGACGGATTGCACTAAAACAACGTCTCAATAAGTTGTTTTTTCTCATGACGTTTTTTTCATGAAATCAATAAATTATAAATAATAAATTTTAAACAATTGTTGCCCCAACGCAATTTTTTGATCAAAAGTTTCCAAAAAGCGCGCAAAAACGGCTTTTTGACCTGTTTTTTTATTACAAAATTTGCATGCGGCGCAAAAAAATGTTGTCATTAGAGGGTCTTTATAGTGTTCTGGGAGCGCTCGAAAAATAAAATTGGCCGACCTTAAAAAAAGGCCGAAAAAATTTATCAACAATTTAAAAAACCACGAGAAAATCCTAGACATCCCCTGCCTAAAATAAGCCCTAAAATAAGTCTTAAAAAAGAATTCGAAAAATTTCAGAGCTTGCATAGAAGTATTCGAACTTACATAAATACAGTGCTGATTTAAATTATCCGGACAAATCGAACAAAACTTGAATTTTCAAACGCGTTTTTCTCAAATTGGGTTAAGATTAGACAAATAGTGAAGAGAACAAAAGTTGCTTAGAATTTCACCAGAATTAATATGGTGCCATTTTTTCTCCGAAATTCTCAACAAAAATTTAACCCCAAAAATGGGTCATTTTCGCTTTTTTCAATTAATCAAGAATTATGCAGAAACTACTTTGTTAATTGATGAGAAAAGTATATCACAGGAAGCTTCTTACGCAGCTCAACAAAGTTTAAGAAGGGTTAAATCTCCAAAAATTTGCGCAAATTGTTTAAAATTTATTTTTAAACAGAACTTCTGGGTTTTATATAGTAAAAATCACATTTATTGACTATCAAGTGATAATTTTTTCTCTTATACTGGTTTTTGGAGATTTAACCCTTCCTAAACTTTGTTGAGCTGCAAAAGAGGCTTCCTGTGATATAATTTTCTTATCAATTGACAAAGAAGTTTCCGCGTATTTCTTGATTAATTGAAAAAAGCCAAAATGACCCATTTTTGGGGTAAAATTTTTGTTGAGAATTTCGGAGAAAAAATAGCACCATATTAATTCTGGTAAAATTCTAAGCAACTTTTGTTCTCTTCACTATTTGTCTAATCTTAACCCAATTTGAGAAAAACGCGTTTGAAAATTCAAGTTTTGTTCGTTTGGTCCGGATAATTTAAATCAGCACTGTAGTCAGATATTTCAGGTATATTAAACTTTAATAACCTTGCTCATTTATTTCTGTTATTAACACCCTCCTGAAACCGATATTACCTTTTCTAAATCAGCTTCATCTACCAGAAGACTAGATCCGGACTCTGTCAACTTCACTCTAGTTTGACCTCCGCCTCCGCCACTTTGGTTACTTCCCTGTTCATTCAACACTGTGCATCCAGAATATCCCTCCGAATGCACTAGCCAGTAGGAAGGAGTGAGTGTGTACTGGCTCTCCGCCTTCAAAGCCTCCTCCGACTTACCAGCCTAAACAAGTGTTATGACATCAGGAAAAACTGACTAAAGTCATCGAGGAACACTCTAGAACCTTCAACCAACTAAAAAAGGGCATCAAAGTATTATAATAATAGGCTTCTTTATCAATAATATCATCAAATCTCTCGTACCCGCGAACTGTTGCAAAAACAGATTGCAAGATCAAGATTTCAATTTTAAGGTCAATTTAAATTGAAGTGGGATAAAATTATGACAGAAGTTCAGAACCCACTCTTTAAAGTAAAGGTTCAACAGAAGCGACTGACTTACACAAGAAAACATACGAAACACTCCTTTTTTCAACTGAAATGAAAGAACATATTAAAGCTAAACATGAAAATTTACTACACCAAAAAAAAACGATAAAATCAATCCAACAACTTGTAAAAATCTATTATGAAGAAGACGTCAAATACAATCATCCATTTTTATTTCAGAACAACATCAATGATACAACATAGAATCAATATTTTGAAGCATTTGACATTTTTAGTATTCAGTAAAAAAACTCTTCATCCACTAACCGTTTTTGACTTTTTGTCGAAGTTTCTGTCAGTGATAGCAGCCAATGAAGAGTTATCTTCCAGACCACACCGTTGGCATAACTCCAGCAACTCTGGAACAGGTTGGACCGTGATCTTTATTTCTGGAGATTTGGTCGCCTTAATCAGCTCTAGTAATTTGTCCTTAGGGAGTCCTTCGACATGCGTGTCGTTTATCTTCAGAAGTTTATCTCCCGGAAGCAGTCCTGTGGTTTGACTGCTGTTCGCACTCGACTCCGCAAAGTGGATATTCCTTTCGATTATCTCCCCTAAAACCACATCTTGATGAGACTCAATAACTTCAGTTCTGCAATAACATCAGATGCGGATATAGTTGCAATATAGTCGAGGCGAGAGGGCGGATTTACAAAAAATTTTGATCCGCTGTTTTTAGAAGGTTTCGACCAAAAAATCACGAAATTTTATACAGGAGCTCCAGAGGCTTTTTCATAAAAAAATGTTTTTTTTATTAATAAAATGCATGTTTTTGAAATAGTACCGAAGGCGGCTAAAGGGGGCGAATCTTTGACCAGCCAGCGGGGGGTTACAATTTAGCCTTAAGCCCTTGAAAACGAGTTCCCTGAATAGTCATTAAACTGAGCTTTTCATTATTAAATGGCAACTTATATCAATTATTACCTGTTAATGGCACTTTCTCCAGCAGCGTAGAAGTTTTCACAGTGAATCCATAATCTCCAGCAAAATTCTGTTTCAATACTAATTCTCGTGGCTCTGGAGTTTTGGTACTGTAAATTTTAGGCAGCAGCAGATTCTCGTCAAAGGATTTGTGCGTGACCAGGGGTATTTTTGGGATACTCAAATTCAATGACCGCCTCGATTTTGAACTCAATTCCCGACGTTTTTGTGCTTCAGACGCCTTCACAGAATCCAAAGCGTCACCAGAAGCCACAAACCGCATGCTTTTCTGACTATGTTTCGAGTCTTTAATTTCCATTTCTACATTCTCTTGTGGACTTGTAAGCAAAGGCGACGAAGCATTTGCGTTGTTTTTGAGGATACTTTTCCTGATTTTGGATGACGACGTGGATGATTTTGATTTAGATGTCTTTTGACTCTTGTCTCCGTCTATGGAGTCAAGTGATAAGGCATCTTTCGCTTCTCTGGCACTGCCTTCTGTTGGAGACGGTCTATCTATAGACACTCTTTTGTTCATACTGAATTTAAACAAATCCGAATCGTTGCCAGAATCTTCTAGATTTTCACTATTTTCGCCTAAAAATTGCAACACAATTTTTGAAATATTTCTCTATCCTGTTTTTTTTTTCAAGAAAAACAATCAGAATAACTCTGGAAAACTGAAACACTAAGTACGACCAAACTTACTTGATTTGACAGAAGTTCCCGTCTTTCCATTCTCGTCTTTGTCCTTTTTCTTTTTGGATTTGAACATTTTCGAATCCTTAAAAATCGATTTCATTGTTGATAAGCCCTGATTAACAAATTAGTTGGCCACATAAAACAATAGAGCTGCCTGCTACAGCCTTTAGTATTCAGCAATTCAATTATACTTATTTACACTTCAGCAACTCTATTTAAGAATACATTGAGTCGCAGCCAAAGTTCAAAGGTCTGCTAGTAGACAAGTAATAAAACACCATCCTGTTCATTTACACAACAATGGCTTTAACTATGTAACACTTTCAATGGACAAAGCATGGTGCTAATAGTTTGTCCATTAAACACGTAGCTGAGTCGGCCAATATCACTCGTTCGGTTCTTACTCGTTCGATGTATACACTATCACTCACTCCTTCGATTCTTCGCATGCACACTTCTCTGAAGACTTGTACCTAGTCTTAATTTTAATCATGCGTTTAAATAGTGTAATCAACACTCGATATGAGAGCGGAAATCTATTCATAGACATATCTTAAATTCGGCTTTAAGAAGGCTCGTAGCCGCACAGAAGAAACAAATTTGAACGAATCTTAGTTACAACACAGCTTAAGTTAAGGTCATCAAGCTTTGATGGGTATCTAGAAAAATTCGTTTCTGACAACCGATCAAAAATTATTGTCATACAATGGGGGTTTAGCACAGAGGCGAAGTTGCACTTCCATACACAAGCAAAAATATGACCGATAACGCTACTGGGAAAAACTGAATGAGTAAAACTTTGAGTCTACAAAATTTCTCAAGTGACGCACGCCAATTATGAGTCTACATAATTGCTAAGTGACGCAAACCAATTATACCGCATTAGCAGTATCAGTCAAGTTGAAAAGAAAAAGAAATTAATCAACTAACATGCCTCAATTTATAGAGCGGACGCAGTTTAGCTAGTATGCAAAAAAGTTCATTAAAAACATCCGACCCTGCCCAGATTCGAATCCTCCTATTTTGTTCCGGTTCTCCTTCCCTAACTCTACGCTAGATATCCATGCTACTTTGAAGCTAAAGAGCTACTTGTAATATAAGAGTCTGTGTTAATATCCTTAGCATTAACTGTACTTAATAGCTGGTTATTAATCAAAATGAACACTTTTAAAATGAACACCTTTTATCGCAATAATATTTGCATTGCAACAATATTTGCGACTTAGGTTGGAAAGAAGAGAGTTGATCCTATAACACAAGCTTTACTAGCGTAAAAAATTTGTACAAAACGGTCAAAAGACTTTCCAAAATCCATAAGTTGTGGCCACTTAAGAAAAGAAGATTTCCAAAACCGTATTTCTTGATTGAACACAACTATACAGGTAGGCTTTCAACAGCCTGTTGTTACGATTGAACCTATGATATCAGATTTGACAGCGAAGTTAGCGAGAAAAATACAAACAACGGTCAACGGATTAAAAATTTGACCTTTCCGAAAGCTTTTCGTTTTAAAAAATAGGTCGTAGCTGCTTTTCCGACGGCCATAACTTTTGACTTTTCCGACGGCCATAACTTTTACTGTCAGAAAAGTTTGAGTGTAGTCGCATAAAAACATGAGCTTCTCACAACCCGTTCTTTGAATTTAAACCAAAATCTCAGATATGGCAGAGTGGTTTTCGAGATAATTAAAAAAGTTCAAAAAAAGGTCAAAAATCCAAAAATTGACTGCTACGAGGGCGATAATTTTTTGTGAAAAAAAATATTGAGTGGCCCCTAATGCAGTGGAGCTTCCCACTACCCATTATCTCCATCCAAGACACAATATCAGATTTGAGATTTTATTTTTTGAGAAAAAAGCAAAATGTTCACAGAACGGTCAACAATCAAAATTTTGACTATTCCAAGGGCGATAAATTCATAGGTTAAAAAATTTGGCGTAGCTACTTATGCTGTGAGCTTTTCAAAACAGTTCTATTCATTGAAAGCAAAAACTCAGATTTGAGGGGGGTAGTTTTCGAGAAAACGAAAAAGAAATCAAAATATGGATTAAGCATTTCCCTACAGACTTTTTCAAAGGCTGTGGACAGAGGGGTCAAATAAAAAGAGACTAGGGAAGCATGCAGGCACACAGGGGAGTAGGCAGGTTTCCAACCGATACAGCTTTTCCATGACGGAAAAAAATTCAACAAAACGATTGGTAAACACAACCAACTTGAAAAGTGCGGAGAGGAGTGTTAAAATTGTGTTTCCCTAGAAACGACCCAAAATTAGGTCATTAAGCCGATAAAAAGTAGATTGGGCCGACGAATTATTTGTGAACAAAAAACAAAGGAAATGCTAAGTCAAGGTAAAAAAAATTACAAATTGTAGGAATAAATCAAACACTTAAAACAACATTAAAGAAAAATGCGAAAAGCAAAAAAAAAATCGATTCCAAGATGTGACAGCTAAGCCAACAACATATAATCAGACTAAAAATTGGCCGACATTTTTATTTGAAGCAGAATTTTTCCCGTTTAGAACAAAAAAAACAGGTCATGGTCAGATTCGAACCCAGGACCTTTGCTAACGTTTGCTAAACGCAAGCGTAAATACCAGTCAAAATAAAGCAGCTACAAATGCCAATAATAAGTTGCCAATGCTTTGCAGCAAAAACCGCTTCACAATACACAATTTTGCATAGAATAATTTTGACTAACAATCCGAAGGCAGAAAAGCCAAATCATCTACAAATGATTCATTTCAAAAAAAGCTTGTTATATTGAGGTGGAAATTTTTTGAAATCGAGTTTCAATTATTGTACTGTTGTTTATGTGGGTAAAAATTATAAAAGTTCGAACTCAAACAGAAAACTGGAAGGCTAGAAGCCACGTCCCTATCCAAAATCCAAACCCGAACGTTTTCAACGTCATCCATACATAACTTCTATTTATATTGATTCTTCGGCATTTTTGAGGTTTTTTTGGCGAAATTGGAAGCACACTCAGCAGATACTGCGCAATTATTTATTTGGAAAAAATATCATTTAATAAATTCCTATAAGAGGGGAAACGGACTTTCAAAACACCAGCGATACATAGAATGAAGAGCTGGTCGTAAAAAAACCGAAAGCAACTAAATCAAAATAATCTTGAAGAGTTAGAAAAGTGTTATAGAACAAAGAAAACTTTAAAAAATGATTGAAATTTTTGTTTGTACAACTTTCAACTGTCGAATATAATCAAACGAGTGCAATAAGAAGAAAGATAAATAAGCCTCGAATTAGTTTTAAAAAAATTGATCTGCGACCTCTAGCGATTACGAATCTCACGCACTAGCCCCGGAAGATTGAATAATCACAAATACTAGCCTCAAATAAAGCAGTGAATATATGCTATGAAATTTCCAATGTTACAGATCGTGATTATAGCAAAAGTGCTACTAAATAAGTGAAACTTTCAATAAACACTTTTATGTGCGACTTATACGATGGGAAAAGAAGGTTCGTACTAATACACTACGCTGGCAAGCTCTCTAATCTAAACACAATTATCAGTGTTAAATGAGCATTCAGGCAATGCTTTTTCACTTGGATGGGCTTTTTCCATTCTACTCCCCCCCCCCCCTACCCCTCCCCAACTTTCAAAATATCGATTTTCATGTTTGTTTTACGTGTTATTACGGCTAAATGCACGATGTTACGATGTGAAGAATGAAGAACAAATCTGTTCACATTTGTCAGTTCGTTCATCATGCCAAATTTCATTGCATTATGACAACGTTAAACAAACTTTTCAAAATTGAATTTGAAAGGAGGGAACTGCAAAAGAGCCCTTAATTACAACTAAGCCGACAATACTTAGGTGAGGCTCGTTCAACATGAAAAAAATGTTGCCCAAATACTTTGAGTGATGAAGTTATGAAATTTGAGTTTCAACATAAAGCACAAAAAACTGTAACCGCACTCAAAATTGAACTTTTCAAAAAAAACAGCACCTATTTCTAAAGAGCACTTCAATATCAGAAGAAAGCTCTCAAGAGACCTGTGGTTATGAAAATATCTACCAGTAAAACCACTTAGTAGTTAGATTTAAATTTTACAGAACTTGAGCATGTTAGTACAAATTATTCAGTAATTCTGTTTAACAAGTTGTTAACTTGAAAGTCAATATTACTTCCTCCGTTCAATTTCAATTAAATTTTTTTTGCCAAGCACTTGTCGTCTGCGCTGCGCACTAATAGAAAACTTAACGTCAATTGCGCCATTTATCAACCCAAACTGTTGAAATTTTTCAATTTTAAACTTCCTTATTTTGCGTATAATGATCGCAGGTGACATGTCCTTTTTTGAATTCAGGACATTAAAACCTTTCAAATCGTATTATGAAAATCACGATAGCCGAAATAAATTAACTTCATTGGCATCGATTGTAATTTAGATCTGGACTAGATCGATATAATGAAATTGAAGAAAAATGTGCGACTTAGGCTATAAATTTCATAAAGAACTTACCTATCAAATTGAAGGGCGCCCAAATTTTCAACTAACGAAAATTCAAAAGGGCCTTCTATTCGGCAACAATCGGCTTGACCAGGTTTTCAGATAGACTATCACGAACAACTCTACCTAGACTCAATTATCAGAAAAGGGAATGAAATTTAGAGACGTGATAGTATTAAGGGTCTAGTCTTGTTCCCAAAACGTCAAAAGCACAAAAACGAAGTCCTTTTATGTTCATACTCTTCCTGAGCGCCGTGGATAAAATATCAGCTGGATGCTGTGCGACTGGCAAACATAAAAGACAATATTCATTTCATACTCATCAGAGTAGCAGACAAATTTGATCGAACTCTTATAATCCAAGCATGCCTTGGAAGCGTTTGATCAAAATTGCCTAAAATATTACCAATTTCAACCCAAAGCTATTAATATTTGAATTAAATTTGAATTTAAAATCGCCCGATAAACAAAACTGAGACTGCTTACCGACCTTTCTGTTTACTAGGTTGGTTGTCTGCTAACTGCTATTTAAACCAGCTGGATTGAATGGTTAAGACTAACAAGTGAAAACGAGGAAACGGTTTAATTTAAACAGTTTCAGAGAAGGCAAAACAAAACAGCAATTGGTCACAAGTTTAGAGACAAGTATTACAGACAACACTTGAGAGAATTGATTTGGGCTACTAAATCATTTATCAAAGACGCCTCTTGTACAACCATTTTGTGAAGGATAGAGTTTTTCACTAAACGGCTTCGAGACGTATGCAAATCCAAACTATTATCATGTTCATTTTCTTGGTGTTCAGAAACCGGAAAGGCCTGCTCGGCCGACAGCCTAAGAGAAGTTATCAATTTGTGCTTTTTCTCAAGAGTTGCTTCGATTCGGGTGAGCTTTTCCAGGAACAAATCTTCGTTCACACTTCTGAGAGAACTGCTTGAGTACACTACTCGACTCAGAACTTCAGCCGAAGACTCTAAAAGTTCTTGGTTACTGTTCAGAGATTCGTATTTGTCGGCGAGCTCTCTCGTCTGATTAACCAATTTGCTTCTCGTAGCACTTAAACGCTCGATTTCTTTTGTTTGCTGGGCCAGTCGGTTTATAATGAGAGCCTTACGTTTGCTGATTTGATCGTTAACCGACATCAAAACATTCAGTCGATTTTGACGAATTTCGCCAACTATTTTTTTCGTCAGTGCGTGCAATTCGGCGGGTTGAGCTGGAATTATAACAATACAACATTACTTAATAAAAAAACTTGGTCAGAAAATAAAAAAACTTACTATCGTGAAACGAATGGGTGAGATTGTTAAAAATCATTTCTAGAAATCATGAGAATCAAGCTATACATTTTAAAATAAAACCCTTTCCATTCCATCCTTTTCTGCATGAAAAAAAAGAGAATTTTTTCACTGTTTTGTTTACGAAGGCTGTGCTTGACTCACCTGAGGTCTTTGACCCCAAAGAAATCCTGGGACTGCGTTTGCTATCAGCCAACATCTTTTGTATTTCGGGCAAGAACGTCTGAGGTGCTTTCAGAGTGCCTCTGGGATTCTTTGCAAACTCACCAGTGTGACTCAATAACATTCCAGATATTTCGGACTTTTTCAGACTTGGTAAATGAGATTCGAGGTTAATTTTAAAAGTGGATAAAGCGTCCGAAGTACACAAAAGTGTGCTAGAATTCGGAAGATGGATAACTCCTATTAACAAGGCGTCATCTTTCATATCGGAAGACTCGTTCGAGTAAGAAGAAACTAAACATGCTGTATTAGAACTTGAGTCGAAATTTCTATCGTTATCTCTAATCATTGAGGTTTCATCAAGAAGAATTTCAAAACATTTCGCGTCCGTAATGAAGGCTCCCATTCTGCTCCAATAGTAATACACCAACGGCGATTTAAATCGATCTGTCATCACATAAAACCTTGAATGATTGTCCTCGTGTAGTTCACTCAAACGCGCATCACCGGCAGTCGAATCGAAACGAACTCGCTCCAGAATCTCAACAGTTGGCTGAAATAAGCAAGAAACGATAGTTAAGAGCCTTCAAGAACAAAAATATACAAAAAGTTAGCTGCTCATGCATATAGATCTTATCAACGAGAAACGAAATTTTTGGAAAAAAATTATTTTCAAAAGCACATCAAATGCTAGTACTAACAAGAACATCCAGTTGCTCTGCAAGTAAACGAAAATTCGTATTTTTTTGTGAATGGTGGGATGAGCGGATCATAATAACAGAGGACTTGCAACAAACAATGCATAAGCGACTACGCTTGTCATCAAAAAACGATTAAAAAAAAGACTAAAATCAAAAATTTCTTTGAAAAAAAAAACTTTTATGGCCTAGAAAGCGATATATGGTACTTCGAAAACTATAGAAAAAAAGCATATTTTTCTCACTGTACTTGCTCAAAAACCAAAAACTGAATAACCTTTTTTATTTTCTGAGAAACCTTTAAAATGATAAATAACTCGACCAACTCTGGTAAATATTTATGTTACCTGTCTTTGCAAGGAAACATTTTTTTAAAACAGGAATAGTCGGTTGCATCAATTATTTGAATTTTTTTAACTCCCAGGAAGGCGCTCAAAGACTTAGGTGCTGGAGTTTAACTAAGTTTTCAGGGCTTGTACTCCTATAGTGAACCTGTTCGCTCGCTTTTTTCAGACTAAAACAGACTAAGAACTTGCTCATAATTAGACTAAATATTCAAAGCGGTTTTTCTTACAGAGTCTGCCAAAAGACCGCAATAGCCAACCTTTCAGCAAATGAAATTGATATGAACTCAAAAAGTTTATAATAATCTAAGGGCATTCAAAACTGCATTTATTTGTATGAATGCACTTTCTGTAGTTGTTATTATTAGTAGTAGTAGTAGTATTAGTAAAAGATTTAGAGACAGTTCTCAAGGGTTCGCACCCAGATTCAAATTCATCAGTTTAGTTTTATCTTGTTTGTGATGTTACAGTTTCCACATCTGCATATTATTCTCCATGTGCATTTGATTCTTTCGTTGCCAAAATTAGGGTACGTTTGTGATACGTAGTTGAAGAGAACTTTCGTTCGTCGGAAAAAGTTGTCATCGGTTTTCATCAATCTTGATTTGTACAGCCTGTATTCTCCTCTTTGATTTTGTCTGGTGTTTCCTAGCGAAGGAATATAATCTAAGGTTTCCTCAATATCATAATCACCGTTTCTCATTGACAATAGAAAAAGAAGATCATGCATCTCGACATATATACTGAGTGGTAGTACAATCAGGGAAACGAGGCGGTTACGGTAATTGATGTTCGATCCTAATATCAATTTTGTTGCATAGTGTTGGACTTTTTCAAACTCTAGGAGGTTTCCCTTGCTTGGCCACCACGTTTGAGAAGCCTATGTTGTTATCGTAACTACGTATCCAGTATACGCATTCAACTTAACCTTCCGAAGTAAGGTTTCTTTTAATTTGAAAGAGCGCATTCATTGCCTCTTTGGAACGTGTTTGACAATTTCCAGACCAGTTTAGGTTTTGATGTCCAATGAGCCCTAGCGCACGTTGGGATTCCACTGGCTCCAGAGGACTGCCCATGAGATTGGCTTTTAGTGCTCCTTTAGTGTTTACAATATGAGACTTCTTTGTATTTGGTGTGATCTTATTTTCAGAAAGCCATTTTTCAATTATTTCTGTTGCTTTGTTCATTTCACCTTGGCTCCGGATTGTTGCTTTAAAGTCATCTGCGTATCCGTAACAAGGTATTTCTTTCATCGTTTCAGGTAAATCATTGATGAAGAGGAGGAATAGTAGTGGTCCAAGGATAGACCCTTGGGGTACTCCGCTGGTGACAATTTTTTGGCGGGACCTTTTCTGATTGATTAGAGCATTTAACGACGACTTTTCCAAAAAAAAAAACATCTTTAAAAAATCATCACGACCTATATAAGAGTCTCAACTACGTTCATCGTCTGTTAACAAATCTAAGTGGAAGAACGCTGAGCGTACTCGCCAATATCAGTACATATATGCATAGCGCATCATCTACTTTTGGCAAAGTTCTTTACGGAAAAAACCTAGTACCAGATTTCAATATCAAGATAATGTATTCTTCCAAAAACACCTTTTTGCTTTCTTTTACAAAAGCTTGATGTCTGATTCAGTGTTTTATACACGTTATACGACAAGTAATACAAAACAAAACCATAAAAGATTTATAAGATAAATAATCAGATTACACAAAACCGATAAATGGCTATTTTTGTGAGTTAGGGATTTGTTTTATTGAGTATTTTATGATTGATTGATATTAGAGGGGGAGGGGCTCATTTCCATCAAAGTTTTTTTTGATGTATTTTCCGACAAAAAATATAATCGAGCGCCAAAACAATCTAAAAAGCCTTACGCCGGTTGCTTTAATTGATTTAGTATTTTGAGGTCACGTTATACGATTATGCGTTTTTTATACGAAAGGCAACACATACGATTGTACGTTAAATGATAGTCGGATTATATGATTTTTTCATCATAAGTCAAGACATTGGTCAGAATAGTTATTTTCTGAAAAACTTACAAGCGTGTCGTCGTATTGAGGAAGCAAGGTACCATGCAGTACATCCCCAGTCGCATTCATCATCACCACACCAGTCAGTTTGTCACAGCGTAAGACTGCAATGTGACAAAAACTGTCTCCGTAATTATCTTCAGCTTCTGGCAAGATGCTCAGCGGTCCCTGCAATTCAATAGATGCCCCTGATTGATTATATTTTATGTCGTCTAGCAGGAAAACATCTCCATTCTGTGTTAGAGCAACTAGCGAAAATGATTGCATGTCTACATTGAAGGTGTCAAACGACACTACGAAGTCGCCGAGCATACTGTTTTGATCTACTTCCCCCGGTAGGGAGATTTCAAAGAGATGACTGCTTGTGTTGATGAGCAAATTGAACACGCGAATTATTCCAGTCGAAAGCAACTCCAAAACGACGAACGAGGAATCTTGTTGGTTTGATTCTTCCCAATTGCCCAACCACTTGACCTGTCTTACTTGGATTTTCGATGATGTGTATACAGATCGATCAACAACATATGACGACGCAATCACGGAAGACAATTCTCTATTCAAAAGTGTAATTTCCGGTGGCATATGGACTATTACGGTGCCTTGCAAACCACTCACCAAAACATGAGTTTCACTGGTATTTAAAGATACATAATTTATTTCAAATGCTGGAACACACGATATTGAGATCTCAACTTCATCGCCTAAATCCAATGTCTTGGCGACCGGATCATTAGTAGCAATAGGGCGAAAGAGCAAAATGCACAAATTGGATTCCCATGTCAATATGAAGTTTTTGCCAACGCATGACAAACTCTTGCAATCATTCATAATTTCGTTTCTGAAAAACTGCTGCGGAAATATGAAATACTCATTAGGCAAAGAATCTAGTGTTATCAATTTTTCAAGCTCGCAGCTTTTAAGTTTTCTTGCATCCTTAATTTAGTATTTAAAACTACTTACTGACGAATATTCTAACGGGATAATCAGGAGGTCAAAAGTATCATAGCAACCGATGTTACAGTCAGGAGTGCCTTCATCACATATTCCAGTCAAAATCCTTGGAATTTTGACTGGAATATGACGAATATGGAATTTGTGAACTTACAGGCCGCACTCCGCCTGTCTGACTTCGTTGAAACACTCGAATGAAACGAAAATATCGAATAACGTCAGACTGAATAAATTAGACAATGTGACATTCGACCAGAATGTATCAAAATGCAAGTTCGAATTCGAATTTAAATTGTGACATCGGAGCGGGAAGATTGGCGGTTTTAGCACATTAGCGGTGTTAATCGTTCATTTTGACGAACGCGGAAGGATTAATTTGGACTGATATGTTAATTTTTGAAATTCGTTCGAAAAGAAAGACACGTGACAACGTCGAAATTTCACGATAACTGAAAACTGCGAAGAAAAAGAACATCAGAATTCGTTGAGAACAACGGTGAACAACAGTTGTGAGAGACAGATCGAAATTGGAATAGGAAACGACAATCAGACCATTCAGAGTTGTAACGATTGTGCCGCTACAATCATTACAACACCAAACCAATCCCGAGAACAAGGAAGGATATTGGGACGACGTGTCCAGCCTTCCGAGAAGGAAAAAGACTATTATTTGGCCGGATTCCTGAATTCGGAGGGTCTCGGGAGAAAACTGTAACTCTCTGTTTTTTGAACTTTTAGCTTCTGGTCAAGTCCTGAGTTGAATTAATAACCTCTAAGTTCGTTTTCAGATTATGAGAAGCTAGGAGTTGAGTGAAAGGGTTGATCCATCTTCGATGGAGATGATGACTTTTATCTACTCACTCTACAATAATAATATAATAAATAAGTACTAGCCCTGTTTTTAAAGGTGAACTCGTGGTCTGGAGATACTGAGACCCAGCCACGAGCTTACTATTTTTGCATATAGTTAACTTACTTTGAGTGTTTTGACCGAAGCCAGAAGCAGTAACGTTTTTGTCGACCCGATGTTAGGAAAAGCAACAAAGGAACTGGCTTTGGCAGAGACGGTGCAAAGCATGTAGAGCTGTGTTTAGACACTAGCCAGTTGTTTTGAACCTAGCTTTATTTCCCGACGATATGTACTTCCGGGCGAATGTTACATAGATGTTTTCATGGCGCTTCTGGACTTTATTCTTTTTTAACACCATGACCGGCAGAACCGTTAACGAGCAATCCACGCCGAGCGGATGCTGAAAATAAGGCCCTAACCACCGGGGCGGAAAGGTTGTTCGGAACGCGGAAGCCTTTCGGATTCTCGAAAAGAATTTTTTAACCTGGTTAACACCGAAAATTCATGTACCAGGAAGGGTTGGGGGATTGGCCATCCCGTCGCTCCCCGAGAGGTTTGAGACCAAAAACACTTATAGTTTTCAGATTATGAGAAGCTAGGAGTTAAGGGAAAGGGTTGATCCATCTTCGATGGAGATGAGGATTTTTATCTGCTGAACAAAAACAAAAGTAATAAAAAAAATAAGTGGTTGCCCTATTTTAGAAGTGACTTGGTGGTCTGGGGATACTGAGACCCAGCCATGAGCTCACTGATTCTGCATGTAATTAAGTTAATTAGAGCATTCTGATCGAAGCCGGAAACAGTAACGTTTTTTGTCGACCCGATGTTAAAAAGACCACCAAAAGAACTAGATTTAGCAGAGACAGTGAAAAACATGTAGAGGTGTGCTTAGACGCTAGCCAGTCGTTTTAGAACCTAGCTCTATTTTCCGTTGATTTGTAATTCCGGGCGAATGTTACATAGATGTTTTTATGGCGCTCCTGGGTGTTATTCTTTTTTAACATCATGACCGGCAGAACCGTTAACGAGCAATCCACGCCGAGCGGATGCTGAAAATAAGGCCCTAACCACCGGGGCGGAAAGGTTGTTCGGAACGCGGAAGCCTTCCGGATTCCCAAAAATAGCTTTTTAACCTTGTTAAGACCAAAAATTCATGTACATGGAAGGGTGGGGGGATTGGCCGTCCCGTCGTTTCCTGAGAGGTTTGTGACCAAAAACACTTAAAGGTATACAAGAACTGAAACAAAAAGTGCTATAGCACCTAAGAAAAAAAAACATAAAAAATAACCGAAAAAACCAAAAGCAGTAAAACAATATAAAGTCAGTAGAAATCGTCCCCCCCCCCCCCCCCCCCGACGAGATGTGATCCGATCCTCCCGTTTGTTGTTGTTAGATATATTGTTGTTACAGGCATTTATATCAGTCAGGATTGTTACGATCAAAATTGTGGCCCGTTTCTGGTCCTTGTACTGTAGGGTTATTTGAGTAGTTAAGCATGTTTATGTTAATTTGCGCTCAATCCGGAAGGGTCTCGTGAATTGAGCAGATGACTGATCCGGCAAGCAGTGGAAGGAGCAACAAGAACTGCCCTGATTTGACCCTCCACCGAGTTGCGAATTTCCGAGTTAAGCACCCTTATTCGGATATTGAACAAACCCGGAGGGGTAATACTAGTTTTACTATTTATACAGCCTATAATAATAATCCTATACAGTTTTTCAGTGAAAAACACAGTAAGCAGACCGGTTTTTAGGGTCAAATTAGTGATATTTTGATCCCCACACAAATCGCGATTTTTGAGATATCGATATTTTTTGAAAGAGAAAAAAGCGCTAAATTAGTAATTTACATCGTAACTGTACTAGTATAATTAGTGGAACCGGTTAACTTTCAATCGGAAGGTTGGAACCATATGGGTACCGAAAATCCAATTTTCTTGATTTTTGAAAAAACGAAACGCTACAAAAGCAGAAAACTTTTTGAAACTTTTGCATTAGGACAGTAAAAATTGGTGTACGGACAACGTTCACTAGTGAATCGACGGGTTTGAAAACCCGTTTGCCAAAAATCTTCCGGGTTACAGTGAAATCGAATTTAACGTGTTTGATTTAGTGGTTTCATCAATCCTGAAGGGTCCAGATAGCATTGTTTTTGGCAAATTTTTTCTGCTGAAACGTTTTAGATCGGGTTTTTTGCATTTAACTAGAAAAAAATAGGCTTTCTGAGCTCGGATCAAAAATTTTTAAGCCAAAAAATTAAGAATTGCGAAAAAAAAATAGGCGGAACTTATCATGGAGAAAAATTTTGAACCTTAGAAAAAAGACGTTTTGGTTAATAACTTTGGAACTACTGGACAAATCCAGTTGATCTTGGTATTCATCTTGATACTCATAGAGCCATAAATTGTTCGATAAAATAAGCTTAAAAGTTTTTTAAGATTGTTTCTAGCAAAATTACCAATTTGTGAAGGTAGACCCTTCACGTTTTGTAATTTTTTTTTGGAAAGCGCTTATACCCCTACCAAAGGGTAGTGACGACTCAATAAGGCAATTTTACGCTATTCTAGCCAAAAAGGGAGGGATAACAAACCCATAGAACGATAATCAAGTCAAGACTAAGCTAATTATAAGAACCTTCACAGTTCAAAAGATTTGTCAACTAAGCAGCTTAGCTTCAATCCGGAAGGATCATAAGCCGGAATACACCCTTCCCTGTTAATTCATATAGCACAATAGACTCGGAGATCGTATTGGGAAGGGTCTCGAGTGGAATTTTTAAAGTCCCGGAAAAGCTATTTTTACAAACCCGGAGGTGTCTCAGTTCGAAAGGGTCCTATTTTTACCAAATCGCGAAGGGTCCTATTTTCACCAGTCCGGAAGGGTCCCATTTTCACCAATCCGGAAGGGTCCTATTTTGACCAATCCGGAAGGGTCCTAATTTTGCCAATCCTGAAAGGTCCTAATTTTGCCAATCCGGAAGGGTCCTAATTTTGCCAATCCGGAAAGGTCCTAATTTTGCCAATCCGGAAGGGTCACAATTTTGCCAATCCGGAAGGGTCCTTATTTTGCCAAGTCGGAAGGGTGCGATTTTGTCAATACTTAAGAAGAAAAAAGAAAAGTAAATCGTGAAAAGCATTAGGCTATTAGGAGTTATGCTATTAACCAGTGACTGCACTGGTAACTTGCCTTTTAAAAAGACCAGAATAAAACAAAATAGGTCTAAGCCCGGATATTCGCGACACTAAATCTAATTGAAATAAGAGTTTGACACTAATTTGTGTGGATTAAAATCCAGAATTTTTTTGGAAATTGGAAAAAGGATTGCTTGAGGATTTAGTAGGCCTAGATTGGGCAATCTGAAGGCAAATAGGTAACACAGGACTGGGTGGGTGCAATAGACGCCCACTTGAGGAAATTACTGCCTTCAACTTTTGTCTGTGTAGTGCGACACTGAACAGGGAAAGCTCTTTCTTTAGAAACAAGTTCGATTATTGTATTGCGACTGATTAAAGTACGAAACACATACACATTTTTTTTGAAAATATTTTTTTATCTTTTTAGTTTTAAAACAATAACATTTGTTCTTGATTGGGTAGTGAGTACACTATCTTTTAAATATATATTGATATCATCAGACTGTGCTAGTTTCATATCTTAGATCCAATAATTGATCATTGTGAATAAATTGAATACACGCTGTACTGTGATAACATACAAGGATTCGTAGTCACTATTTAGGTGAAACTTTTGGAATTTATTGTATTGTGTTATTGTTATCACTATGTCAAACAAAAAGAACATTAGCAATCGTATTGAAAGTATAAGCGGTAAGAAGTGATAAATCTAAAATGAGTCTAGACAAGTCACGGATACCTAAACTAAGTGATAAATCTAGGAAATTCATACCAGAGAAACAAAGAAAGGCAATGAACGACCCTTTTGTGGAAAGGATCGCACGAACCCGGACCGACAAAGAGAAGAAATATTCAGGAGGAATGGTTGAAATCAAGAGTCAAAATGAAGGACAAAAGCAATGTTAGAAGTAGAGGTCCATCCGGACCCTGCCATAGATGAGAATCGGGCGGGACATGGATCGTAAGGGTTTGACAATTTTCAGACCAATATAGGTTTTGATGTACAATGAGTCCTAGCTCACGTTGGGATTCCGCTGGCTCCAGAGGACTGCCCATGAGATTGGCTTTTACTGCTCCTTTAATGTTTAAAATATGAGACTTCTTTGTATTTGGTGTCATCTTATTTTCAGAAAGCCATTTTTCAATTATTTCT